AGATCTATATACAGTAAACCATTAATGTTTGTGTAAGAATTGATAAATTAAAACATGTGTATAAGCTATTTAGGTTCATTTTTCACTCATTCTACATCATTAATTGTTACCCTTAAATTAAACAATCGCCCTCATACAGCTAACACCATGCACCACATCCAATATTCCTCTAATGTATACCGTCAAAACTTTCTTGTAAGCCTCCAGCTATAAAAATAATGTTCATTAATACTTCCTCCTAGATAAAATCAATATTTTCAACACCTATGTACAGTAAAAGTTTAATATGATTTGGGGGGATACTAATCCTATGGGGGGGGATAATTATCCTATGGCCAGTTTTAGTATCCGGATACTTATCCTATGGGGGATACTTATCTTATATGACACCGGTAGAAGTCTGTGATAGTCGCATTTACCCATACATCGCATCCTACCCGTCCAATCAGCTAGATCTCGCACAGGATCGTGAATCATTCCAGGAAGTAACTGGTGTTTAAAACTTTGTTTTCCCTATAAAGGTGTAAGTTTTCTTGGTATATGTACATATGTGAAACAACAAATCTCTGTCGTACGATGATGTTCTGATGTATGAACCAAACCCCAATATATGATGAAGGGAATTTAAGGAAAAGAAAAACCTAACAGAGGATATGACATTCTTCTGCGGTATTGAAAAAAAACACTTTCATTATACCTTATAGACAGCACATCTGATGGATTTGATTAATCACCTGATAGGGAAATAAAACATCGTGTTTCCATCTTGCACTCAAATTTTCGCTATTATGATTCCCAAACTCGGAGCCTCTCTAGAAAAATAATCTAAGAGGGACCCAGGCCACCTGACTTGAGAGTAACTGAGGAAAGTGACAATAAATAAAGGTATGAAAGTATGATCAGTTATTGTTCTTTTTTGGTATCATGAAATACTTGTCCTTGTGGTAGGGAAACATGGTGTTTTGTTTCCTTTAGATTAATCATGTTTCACTCAGGCTTTGCCCTTGTGTGTGTCTATTTCGTAATCGAATTGCAACATCCAAAGAAAAAAGTTTGCTGAATACAATAAATAAGGTACGTTTACTGGTTATCATTTAGAAACTAAATCACAATGATACCAGATGTCAAATTTACTAACTGTACCAGTCCAAGTGAGTCTGGTGACCTATTCAGGTATTCTATGTGAAGTAGTTGTGTGGGTGAGATATAAAAAGGTAGGAAATAACACTGTTTACCTTATTTAGAAATACATTACACTTACTGAAACATACAAGGGTGAGTCTAATTGTCTGTTCGTGATCAAAATCTACTGATGTCATCGGACCCAAGTGTTTGCCTTGAGCTGGCATCTATGAGTAAACCTGATTTGTTTCAAGCTGAAAAATCTTGATAAAATGTTTTGCGATAAAAACTTATAGACTTTGGATGATATCAATCTTTATTCTTTATTAGTGAAATATGTTGAAGGATTCGTGGATAAAGCTGGAACATTAAGGCTAAAACAAGTTTTGTTATTCTTATTTGTGTAAGTTGAACTTGCTATAACTGGATACATTCTTAAAGCAACAACATCAGTTAATGCAATTTGGGAGTTAACTAATACAGCTAGAAATTAAGTCTTAAAGAATTATGCTACTTTGTAATCTAGTGCTTGGCCGTGTATCGTAATTTTGTTTACATTAGGTTGGGTTTGGCTTTGGAATTGGCAGGAGAAGTGCCAATAGTTGGTCACCTCCATTAAATCACTAATCTTAACCTGTCGGAAAATGTAATTAAGTTGCTAATCTTACCTGTTAATTCAAAGTTTAATCTTTAATTTGCAGATATACATACAGAACGTTCGGCCTAATAATGAGTAATTGATGTAGACAGGGAGACGGGTTCTCTAGATGTATGACAGCTGTGACTTTGACCAGCCAATATGTATGGTCATTCAGATAAACATATTAAACTTAGACCTATATTTGTACCTGCAGTGAGTGTCCCAGAATAATTGGTAAAAAATTCTTATCAACTGCCAGCTCCCTCCATCAGACTGTGTTTTTAAGGATGTTCCAATATTGAAGTTTCAGAATGTAACAATTTTAACAAACATCATGTATAACATGCAATACAAAGTATTAACATAATTTCTCTGAAAATTGTTTTAGCTTTCAGCTGAGTTTTAATTCATGGTTTAATTATTTGATTATCAAATTTCATTTGTAAATATGCACTTAAATCTCACATGGTTCAACAATATTATATATGTCACACATTCTCTGTGTACTATTGTGTTTTGGGAGAAACAGAATACACAAAAATTACAATACATTGTCAGAAACAAGTTCATTGTAAAGCGCAATTCCTGCACCAAAGTTTGTAATAAACTAATTTAATTGGATAGAAATCACAATCATCACTTATTGGGTATCCTGAATATAATGCAAGTATTATCAGTACAAACACTTCAAAATACATTGTTATATTATTTTTTTGTCTCAGTGTGACATTAGATTAAATGTTAAGTAATCTTTGAGATGAAGTAGTGTTGTATGTTACGTAATCTTTGAGATGAGGTAGTGTTGTATGTTACGTAATCTTTGAGATGAGGTAGTGTTGTATGTTACGTAATCTTTGAGATGAAGTAGTGTTGTATGTTACGTAATCTTTGAGATGAAGTAGTGTTGTATGTTACGTAATCTTTGAGATGAAGTAATATTGTATGTTACGTAATCTTTGAGATGAAGAAGTGTTGTATGTTACGTAATCTTTGAGATGAGGTACGTAAACTTTGAGATGAGGTAATGTTGTATCTTACGTAATCTTTGACACGAGGTACGTAACCTTTCAGATCAGGTAATGTTGTATGTTTCGTAATCTTTGAGATGAGGTACGTAAAATATACTTTAAAATGTTTGTGTATGTTACGTAATCTTTGAGATGAGGTACGTAAACTTTGAGATGAGGTAGTGTTGTATGTTACGTAATCTTTGAGATGAAGTAGTGTTGTATGATACGTAATCTTTGAGATGAAGTAGTGTTGTATGTTACGTAATCTTTACGTTCGGTTTATTGGCTGGCAATCAAAAACACACATTGAATAGAGGGTGGAGTTTTCTTTTAATTGTACAAATTGTATGGTAGGGTGGAGACATCTGAGTAAGTGAGTAATCGCAATCATTGGAAAACGTGTCTTTTTTGGTTTAGTCTGACTCATATGAATGTTTATAAAACATTTATTGGACATGGATCAGTCGCCCATACACATACTACTTAAGCTTTGGCGTTACACAATTAGGCAACTTAATTGGTCGGAGGTGTTTGTAGTAGACAAAAGATTAGAGGGTGACAATGGGGTCGTGATAGGAGGAGCCCTCACACGGTCGGTCAGCTTTACGGTACACTGACCATCGATCATTCCATGTACCAGTCCGAGTCCTGCTGACACTGGTCGCAGTGTTTGGTTTTATCGTTGTTATTGATAACTTGGTATTATCCCTCATCCTTACAATAAACTCCATTCTACAGGTTACTGTAACCCACTCATGTGTGTCCGAGTTTATCCCTGATTGAATTTAGCCAATTCCTGAATTAAGCTTGAACAAAATAAAACCATCACGCATATCTCTGGCCTGTTGAAAAGATATTTATCACTGCTATGGACAGTCAAGTATTCTTAATACTGATATCGACATTTCTTAATATAACATCAATATACAGCCGTCATTGACTGTTGAGATTTAGCCATCAACAGCTTGTCACAAAGGAATCGGAAAATTGATATTTAACGTAATATTTCGACAAATTATATTACATCACTAAAATTGGATGTTTTATTCAGCTGAAAATATAGCAGGAAGACTCAACATTGACGGTATGATTAATTTTGATACTATTAGTTTGTAAGGTAGAAATGAAACCTGTATGACAGGTGAACATCTGACCAACCGCCAGGTCAAACTGATGACCAGATGCTTGGTTCTTATCGTGGGCCAGTTTTTTAGTAATAATCTTTTATATTTATACCTGGCCGGGGATAGTATTATTTACCAGCACGGAACAATAAACAGACAAAAGAAACTCCCCAGGTAGTTATAATGTGGGTAAATAGAAAGAGCATACCTGAGACGTGGCTGACCATTCACAAAGCAATCTACTCGCAGGTTATAGAACGGTTTGATTAATAAGTGTCCAGCGAAGGTTTTAATTTACAGGCAAAATAAATAAGTCGCCCTTGTAGGTATGTCGCTCAATCTTGTTGGGGCTACGGTGTGAACAGTGGGGATTATAGACTAGTAAAGGTCCCCGTGGAACAAACAATCAAGCAGTTTTTGGGATATAATTTGTACGATGGACAGCCAGGCCTGGGACCTTTACCGGTATGTTATAGTGGAGACGATGGCTATAGAGTTACATTCTGTAGACGAAGGTACGACAGTGTATTGATACATCGCAGAATTAATATGTACATCATTTATCATTCCAGATCAGTTTGTCTACAGAACTGTGGAGGACAGCCTGCCACAATGTTGACATTCTTCTTTGATCATCGCTGACCCATCAAACAGGTGCACGGAAAATATCATATCCAGGTAAGCAGACGGAGCTTAGGATAATCAATGATGGCTACTACAGGTCCAGACCTGACCTAAAGCTGTGAAGGCTTTTTCCCTGTGAAGTCAGGTACTGTCATATATACTGTGATGTGATCAGACTTCAAAGGAATTGTCTTGAGAATCCTATATGATTTAGCAAAACATGCTGATGATGCATTTCCTTCCGAAAACATTAATAAATGTTTATAAACCATGTAATAAAATGTTTTTTAAAAGTGTATTCACATCATTTACTTGTGACATCTTTTAACTGATATTGGTTTCGATTGATATTATCTTTTAAATCATTAACAGATATTGAAAAATGTAAAATAGCAATAACCTAGATATCTTTCCTTTAGAAGGAAATTTGACAATATTTATGTCCGTCTTTTAAAATTCTATTATGATGTTATCTGTTGTGTTTTTTCACGACATTTTAATAACTTGTCTAATTTCCTATCCGTATGTGTCTTCATGTATATTGAAGTCTGTCTCTGATTTCTTTGTTTGTCCTATTACGTTATATATGATAGGAGTATAAATACTGTCTGCCATTTGTACTCGGAGACATTTGGACTGCAACATATTAATAAAAATAACTCCATATTTATTAAAGTTACTTATGCTGTCAGAATTTGTCAAGAAAAAATATATACTTTAAAATGTTTGAAATTAACATTTTAAATTGAAGTTTTAACTTTGTACAACCTTGAATTGAAATTTATCATCAAACTTCAGACTGACTATAATACATGTTAAAACAGCTATTACTACCATTGTCGACTTAGTCAATTTTCTGAACTAGAACTTACCCTGCCAAACAAATTTCCACTTTTTCACATGCAAGGCCAGGGTATGCTTTTGAAAATATGAGTTAAGTATTTTTCAATTATGACATTCCGGTATATAATGTGTAGCTTACAGGGTTATCTAAAGTCATTCTTGAATCGGTAGTGGATTAATGAATGGATCCATATTATCAGGAAACATAATTCATGCCAAGCCATGTTGACGGTAACTGTAATTTTCACGGCTTAACTTGACATTAGGTGATACGGAGGAACAAGGGAAATGACCGCTGATATGTACTTACAGCTGATATTGAGGATCTAGACTCATAGAATATACTTAATTCATGTTTCATTCACAGAAGAGTTCTGAAACTTTGTAATTTATCCTCATACCCGTACATATTGATTTGTTGGGAACAAAACTGCTGTCTGATCCGTGAAGCTTAGGTCGTGACAACCTCCTGGGGAGAAATATCTAACATGTCAACAGTGTTGATTGATTGATTGATTGATTGATAGGTTTTACGTCCGCTTCACTACCGGATGTATCGGTTATCCAGCAGACGAAGAACAGAAAGGAAAAAGAGTAGAAGGGTTAAAGTGTGGAGTAAAGAGTAGAAGAGGGGGATAGATTAGATAAAGAGCCGTCTATCCTATATATATTAACTGTCTAGTTTTTGTGAGACGACTCTTATGCCTAATAATGCCTTAACCTAACACTCATTGTGAAGCATCACCAATTCTGGACCGGAAGTGAGGTACTGTGCCGCCGTCAGCCCCATCAGCCCCGCCTAGGTTTAAGAATTTGGTTTATGTATAAAATTTGGAAGTCCTTCTAAATATCTTAATAAAGAGACCCTACCTTTAAAATTTGAATAAATTTTTCCTATCCTCTGAGTCGGCGTGTACGCGCCTGCTCTT